GCACGATGGTTTTAATGAAAATGTAGACAAAACTGTAGGAATTCAAAAAAAAAAAAAAAAAAACTTATAATAAAATTACACAAGACAAAATAAATGATTAACTTATTACTTATGGCCCACTTGTTCCCTAGAACCAAATGAATTATAATATTATAACCGAGTATTTTATGCGAGTCCGGAAAAATATTAAATTATCATCGTATTCCTCTCGGGGTAAATAGCAGTGAACGGTAACTCGTTGCCGGACTATAATACATCCGGTCTAATATAATAACGGACAATATTATACCGAGAACCTATTTTAGTAGGTACACCGGAGAGCCCTCAAGGATATAATAATAATATAAAATATCTCTGCATCCTCGAGATTAAAGTACCCGTGTTCCGAGTACCTACGTATATACGGATAGAAATCTAATCAATTTTTGATTTTACGTAAGTATATTATCGTTTACACAATGCGTTAAAAAGCGGTGTGTCTGTATACCCGAGTGAACGCCAAGGGTAAGATGTTCATCTCAAAACGTATTAAGCGATTAAATTAAATTAAATAGATACTAAAATAGGTTTATTTCAAACTATTCCAATTAATAATAGGTCGAAATTCGCCAGAATCTTTTGACATTATACTACGTCTGGAATAGACAAGCAGAAGTATCGAGTGAACATTTCAGATCTTTATGATTTTTTTTAAATTTAATTTTCCGGGTTTTGCTGATTATTCGGAAAAAAAAAAACAGAAAATAAAAAAAAAACGACGTTATTATCCATTAACCGGTTCCAAAATGCTAATCGGTTTTCGATAGAAGTGAGATTTCTGGTAGAAAAGTTGTTAAACACATACAAAAAAAAAGTAAATAAATAGTTCTACGATCAGAAATTAAAATGAGAATAAAAGACAGCTCTATCACATAGATGTTTACAGTTTTCTTAAATTTTTTTCAATTTTCAAAAAAACTCAATGGAAAATCAAAAAAAAAAAAATTATTTCCTCGGTGCAGTGAACGGACAAAATTCGCCATCGAAAAAAACACTTTGTTTGTGGTGTTCGGAGCATGATTTTCGTTCGAAAAGTTGAAAAAAATAAAAAGCGCATGCAATGGCGAAACCGATACACAATATGCCACGCCAATTACGTAGTTCAGAATCTGAAACACGATTGAAAATCACGACGTATTGTCAAAACTCGCGGGTGTAGTTCGCGTACGTACAGCTGCGGGTAACAGTGCGAACACAATAATTTTCGAAAGTGGAAAATGTCGCGGACTTTTGTTTTCCCGTTTTCCTCTCACGCAATAGGTACACGACAACATAGGAGGTGGAAAAATGTCATTTACCCTTGTCGGTGTTTGTCGTGGTTTCGCGGTGTCGCGGCGGGGGCGGGAAGTGGGAAGGGACAAACGGTTAAAAACCGATTTTATAACGAGCATATTTTTAATTACTCAATTTTGCGAAGGTGTCGCGACACGTTAAATTTTACGGTCGTTGTTTCTCGACTCATTAAACCGGCGAGTTTTTTAAAATTTTTTTTTTTTTTTTTGACGAGAAACACGTCGGACGTTCTGTTTCCTGCGTGTCTGCTCTGTGTATATGCACGCACACAAAAAAAAAAAAAAAAAAAAAAAAACGTTACTTAAAATTACCGAAAATCAAAGAAAGAACCTAACCGACACTCTCCTCGTCCGAGCGGAAGGACTACGACGACGGTGCCGTTAAAAGTTTCGCGAGTCGTGTCGCGGTTATTAAACGGTTTTCGGACGACGGACACCCTTCCATTCCACGACCCCCCCTCTCCACCAGTCTCCTATATTTACGGCGTAAATGGATTATATACGGCGTATATTCTCCGCGGCAAATATTGCATATTATACTCGGTCGCGATATTTCACGCAAAACTTGGGCGCGCGAAGGCGTCTCCGCGCACAGTAAATTAGAACGGGGCAGGCCACGCCGGGGGACTTCCTCCGCCGCCGCCGCCGCCGTTCGGGCGATAAATATTATTTTCGAAATTCGACTTTTAACTACTCCGCCGCGTACCTAATACTCCGGCACTTTAATACTGCCGCCCGATGGCGTAATATAATATATTGTACTTTATAATAAACGTACTACACCATGAGTGATATTATCGTATACAAACCAGGATTGCTCGGTACGCATTCAAAGGGTTGCGATTTACGTGGGAAATTTGTCGGCAGTGTTCGTAACGAGTTGGGAAATAAAAGCCGAGAAATATGATATTTCAGCCGTACGAAAATTCCGGGAACATAACTTTTTCGAAAATAACATTACTCTAACATTTTACACGACTGTAATGCCAAAAAATTACAACCGAAAAACAGCAGATACGCCGAGCGGCAGCGAACCTAAATTTTTTTTTTTTGACCCCCTATCGACATTCTCGGTACAAACCGTTTGCGGTCATTTGGAGTATCTGTAGTTTTTCTGTTTGGAATTTTCTAGCACGGACCATGTGAAAAGTTACATTTTTCTGGAATGCAGCGAGAGAACGCGAAAGAAATCCGCTCGAATATCCGAAGATCTTTTCAGAAAGCAACTTGTTTGGGTTCATTATAAAATCGGTAAAAGTGAAAAACATATTTTACAAAAATATTGTTAAAATCAAAACTAAGAAAAGCGCATCGGGGGCGGTCTACAAAATCAGACGTGTTCCAGAGGAAACAAACGTTACCGCCGAACCTAGTGCTGTTAAATGCGCTCGGTGTATGCACGAGCAATACTATCGAATTCGATACGTTTTGTTCGGCTCTCGTATTATATGATTGTGATTTTAACGGAGACGTCCGCTTTTCAGTCGGTAACAATAATAATAATAATAATAACAATAACAAACCATTTTGCGAACGCGCGTTTCGCTAAAAAATCATAACCGTTCGGTTTGTTTTGCCGGTTAACGAGTGTACCGGTCCGGAGGTGAGTATTAATGTATTGAACGTTGAAAACACAACAATAATAATTTCGATGCTATTTTACACACGGCGTGAGCTTGCCGTTGTTGTAGCGTTCCGACGCTACGCACGCCCGCCTACAATAATATTATCATAATAATTTATCGAAACCTTTTACCGTATTATTTCAAACGGTATAGAACGTTAAATCGTATTAGGTAGTATTGGTTTTTTTTTTTTTTTTTGGTAAATTCGTTTTATTATTTTAAATGAAATCGTATTTACAACGGCGTCCTTAAAATAATAATAATAATAATAATAATAATGATAATGATTTACGGTAAAAGTAATAATAATTAGGACGGGGAATTTATGGGATTTGCGCGGTTTTTTTCTCACCTCACCCCCTCCCCACCCTACCGGTCTATGCACTTGCATATTATACACAACCGCGATTCGCACGGCGGTTATCGAAATGCAGAGCGCGCGCGCGCGCGCTCCGAATCATTTCGCATTATAACGGCGATCACATTAATTAAACAATTTTTGCTTTCGTATTTCAACGGTTTCCCGTGGAAAAAAAAAAAAAACAAAAAAAAACCTCGTATTTCACTTTTTCCCCTGCAATGTTATTTCAGGCGTATTTCGTACGAATATTTGTACAAGCTGCAGGTTGTATACATTATTTTACGGTATTTTCGATGTTATGAAATAATAATATATACGGCACGTCTGCCTATAAAAACAAACGAATAACGATAAGACTCGTCGCGGAGATAAGAGGCGTGAGCAAACTGTGCGAGTAGTAGAATAATATTTTATCAATTGTGGTGGTTTTTTGTTTTGATATTTTCACTGGTACACGAATCGAAAATTCGTATGTTATATTATTATTTTTAGGACTAGCATTCATATTCACTAAAAAGTATCGACAAATGCTTTAAAAAAATATCCAAAATAGGTATCAAAAATGTACTTTATCGCAATTATGTAAATTCTTTGTTAAACTACTTTACCTTCAACATTTTCCTATTAGGTAAAACATCCAAACATCAAGGAAACCAATTATGTTTAGATGACGTTCTGAATCAGCTAAATTTTAATTATTTTGTCTTGTAATACACAAACATGCATTAAAATTAACAAAAATTACTGTGCATAAACTTAGCTCCGAATCGTTTTTCCTTGTCAATAATTTATCGGTGGTTATAAATATAAATTAAATAGCTTTATGTATTCAATCTTCCCAACTACACGCCTACAACAATGGCCGCATCCGTACTCAGTATCAGCTTTTTTTTAAATGTTGCATTGCCTTTTTACATATAAATTCAAAACAAAAATGTATTATAATAATAAACAATATGTTTTACAATTATTTTAATATCTTAATATTTGTAATTTTATTTTATTTTTCCGAAAAATTGTAGGGTGAAAAGCGATTTGAGTTTAACATTTTCGGTACCGCCCATTTCTAATATACAGGATCAGTGTGTCCACCCGTGTTTTCCCGACGCTGAATCCGATGGTTATATCTCATATTTCTAATGTTTTTTAATAAATTAAATTCACATCTCTAGTAAACTGTACACCAATATGATTCTAATTTTCTAATTTTCTAGATTTCCAAACGGATTTACTAAGCAATTATTACACAACAAAAAAAAAAAAAAAAACTAACAAAATAATATGATGATTTACGATGCATCGGTTTTGGAAAAAAAAAATTATTACGCTCGGAAATTTAAAATAGTTAACATAAAGTGAAATATAGGGGACCGAAAACATCACGAACACTGATTTGTTAATTTAAAATCATATATGGGGCCGGGAGGAATGCATACTTTGATTAGTTAAACGAATGATTACCGTATTCATATTCAAAACTCAACGGTATCTACATATGTATTTTCTTTAATAAGGTTTGTTTAACCGTTGTACCCGTTTCCCGTTTTTTTTTTCCTATTTATTATGAAAACTTTTGGGAAAATCAAAAAACAACCATCACCGCGGTCAGGTTTCCTTTCAGAAAAAGTGCTATCATTGTCGATCGGAGCAGAGTTGCCGGTAGAAAAGTTATTCACGGAAAAAAATTTGAAACATCGTTGTAAAATCAATGCGTATCACGCTTCACTTGCACAATCTAAAATGATCCACTGCTCTATCCACCGCGATCCAAATATTTCGGTATCCGACGACCGTCGAACGGATCCGTTTGGGAGGCGAGCGGCCAATCAAATAGGGGCGAGGGCATCCTACGAAAGAGCTGCTCCGTGGCCGAATCAGGCGTCGTGTCCGCGTATAGGTTTACCGCAGGATTACCATGCCTTGTTTTTGCGAAAAAATCCAAAGCACAATGACCGTCTAGTAGTCTCGTTACGGCTCGCGGGTCCCGATTCTCCCGCGCCTTTTCGGGTCGCGCGAGGTTTTCCGCGGTTTCACTGCGGCGTAGGAAAACGAACTTAGCGCCGCCGCCGCAAACAACGTTACCTGCACACGGCGTTCGCGCGTTAATGTCACGCCGTGTGGACGGGGGAAATTTCCGCGGTCCCCGGACCGGTCAGAAATCGCGTCCGGATGGAAAAACAATATCTTATCGCGCGAGCCGAAATCCAATAACGTTCGGAACAACGAGCGTTTTGCGGCGGGGCGCGCGAGCAAGTAATCTATAACTGACGGATCACTTAGGAATACTCTCGGATAGTTTATCGAGTTTGGGTTAATGTTATTATTACAAAGTTACAACGTTTCGTGTGTATATATATAAATATGTGTATACACGCGCGAGTGTGTGTGTGTGCGAGTGTGTGTGCGCGTGTGTAGTTTATCGACGCCCTCGCCGCGGTCCGTTTAATCTGTTCGGCGCGCGAGAGAATTTACTTTTACGTACTAATTCAGTCCGGCCAGCTACCCCGCGCCGTTCGAATAGATTAGGAACTTTTAAACCGACGACCACGTAGTCGTGATAACAATATGACCATGTGCTTTTGGTGTTTTTTGGATTCTGAGCGTAGCGAGGAACGCATTGGTTTTAAAATAATTTTTGTTATTACTTTTTGATTTTTTTTGATGCGAACACTTTTTATACCTGAAAGCTTACTACGGTTTTCAAGTAAAACGCCTTCACTAAAAGGAAATTTTCTCGGTACGGTACTTTAGGGATGTTATTTTTCGGATTTCTCGTTAATGTTCAAGATAACGAGGAACACTCGGTTCTTTAGGTTAAGAAAGATTGAAAGGTTAAATATAAGATTGCCATTGTCAACCGTTTTAATCTATTTTTTGTTCTTATTAAGTTTTTATCGTTTTAATCTTTTTCGAACAATCATTTTTGTCATGGAAACGCACACAAATCAATAAATCAATACTACAGATTGAGCTATATTAAACAAAATACATTTCGATTTCAATGCATTATTTTAACTGCCATTAATCTCTATATTATATTTCTTTATTATATACTTAAGCATCGCTATCGACTGAACTCCGTTCAGAATCAGTTTTTCGCTACTTACATATATTTAAATACTTAAATTTCCTTTTGTATCCTACTTTTCCACCTAAATATATACATAAAAAGGCGACGTGATCGACATCACCTAATTTTGTTTGTTTTCGTCACTCTTATTTTGGGGGTAGGTGGGTCGAAGCCACTATTTACTTATTGTGTATACTCAAAATTCGTATAAGTTGATGAAGTTTTAGTTCGAATAAACCGTTTGAGCAGCACTCAATTATCGACAAAACGCCGAACTATAGTTAACGGAAATTATAAATTCCTACACGAAAATTGATACAATCTAAACCTCCGTTTTATTACCGTAATATTTTCGCTATTTGACAATCAAAACTTGGTATTTAGTTTACACGTGTACTTTGTATCATTCCGCTTTGCCCGCCTCCTCACGGACACTACATGCCGTTTTCTCAATCGAAATATATTCATATGTATTGTTACATTTTTTCGCCAGTATGTAGACAATTATGAAAAAAAACATTGTTTGTCTTTGAGTTTTCAAAACTATTATTACTTCGTCCGTTCATTTTGTCCCCGTGACAGCAGCTGGTTGTTAATTAATACCAGAGGAGGTAGTATCGTTTGGCCGAACAAATTGAAATTTTTTCTAAAACGATTATGCGAGTAGGTATTTCATATTTTGTGTTTTATCGGGTTATTTCGTAGAATTACTTTTCAGAAACCGTTAAGAATTCTTCTATACATGCGATATTAACGCGGACACGCGGTATTTTCAATTATGGAAATAATTATTTTTCGCTTTGATCAATTTGAATATGGCACGGCAAAACTGCTGCGCAGATGTTCCTTATGAATTTATATTACCGAATTACAGTTGTATTATTTGCTGTAATTCCAATATGAAATATTATAACATTATTATTTCGGCCGGACGGCTTAAAAAAACATCCGGGTCCGTCGACAAAATAAGGAGACGTTTCGAAAATTCCGTAAAACACCAATGTGATGTGAAATCAGCCCACGTCGAATTGATGACATTTTCGTGTTGTATTATAATGTTTGCGTATAAATTGACAGTGTAGTATTTCTGTAGGTAGTGTACGCAATACACAATAATTACAGTAATTTCCAAAATCGTGTATAATTTTTTTGTTACACAAATTAATATGTTTTTCGATGTTGATTGTTTTAAAGATGTGCTTAATCGAGCTCCGTTCAGAATCGTTTTTCGTCGGCAACGATTCGTCAATGTGTGCAAGGAAGCCCGCGGGGGTGTGCAAGCTTAAATAAAATTAGTTTACACATCTTCCATTCTCACACAATGGCTTATACATCAGCAATGACCAGTCTTCAGTAATATTTTTTCAAATTGTTTTAATATTAGAGTGAATGATTGGTTTTTTCACGTATTATCAAATAATTAAATGTCGGAACATTAGGTATTTGTGCAACTATCTTGAGTTTTTTCTATATTTTAATTTTTAAACCACATACTAACATAATATTGCGAATACTAAAATTATTGATTTATAACCTCGTTGTTGTGAAGTACCTAGATTTCATTGATTTTCGAATGAATGTCAGTCAATGAATAATATTAATGCGTTCAAAGAAAACAAAAAATCACAATACTAATAAATTATCACCAACCGTCTAAAAACCATCGCTCTCCTCGCGCTGTTCATAGTTATAAGCCCGTGCATTTTTTTAAAAATTTTTTCGTCTCCGTCTAGACGATTACCTATTGTTCTGGCGATCATCCCGTATCGTTATCTATATGGATACATTGCATTTGAACGACAACGCTGATTATTATCGTCCGTTTAAACCGCGCGGTTGTAACGATAATATGGACAATTTAAAAATTCTATAAATACAGAATCGCCATGTCCCTCCCACAACTACAATGCCGCGGTGGGGGAAAAACTTCAGTGTCCAAGACGATTACGAAAATGTCGCCGGCGGGAAATCGATAGTGTTTTGATGTAGGTCGCGGCGCGACGGGCGATAATTAATAATTAATTTCGGCACTTTTGACGGGACTGGACGGATGACGGCGTTTTCGGTCCAGTGCCGGTTTTACGGGCGATTCGTCAAACAAAATAATATTACATTACATCGTGATACCCACCTAGATAATGATATGCGATAACGCGCGTACCGGGACACGTCATTACAATATTGTACCGGTTATAATAAACGATCCGTTTCACCCGAGATTGAATGATTTTCGAATACGGTATAATGAATAATACAGGGCGAATAATTTTATCGCGGTAATTTTAAGTGAAATTGAATTAGTTTTTCGTTTCGTTTTTTTTTTTTTCGTAATCATTACGGGGAACCGTTTGAGCTTTACGCGTTATGCCCCGATTGTACATTCCCGACACCTGACATCAGTATCTACTCCGGATTTTCAAACAGCGACCTCCCGTTTTCAATGGCCGATGCGAATTGAGAATGTTCTTCTAGGGCTTTTGATGCGCGTAACGCTTGTGTCGGATTTACCATTCGCGAGTCGCAACGTTTAATGTTTATGACGGGGAGTAGGCGACGGTCATAAATTGCGTATCTATCGCTTGCCGGTTCGAGATAAAATAATGACCTTGTACACGTGTGCACAGCACTACTATTAAACGCCGGGGTAATTAATCCGAGGGATAGACAACCCCGAAATATTATTATAATAATATACTGTCGTTATAATGATGATGATAATAATAATGCAGTCGCGTTAGCGAATCGCGATTACGGAGTTTCTCCGACCCAGCAACGAAACCTAATTAAAACGAACGCGTAAACTCTGAACTCGGCGAGAAATGTATTATTGGTTTTACTACGATTGTAAAAAGCGTGGTTTTTTGTATTTTTTTTTTTTTTTATTTGTCGCGGTCGTATACAAATGTCTAACACAACATTTTGCTCAGACCGAAAGAGGACGAGAGTACTTTTTTCGTTGCATTTTTCTGATATAATTGGTGCATTTTCGGGGACATTTTTTTGATTCTCCGACCGATTTTCGAAATGGTCGGAAAAAACCGTAAGAGAAAAACGAATATATTTACGACACCGTTAACGATTTCGTTATTTTACATGTTTTCCATTTAGTTTTTCTTCTAAGAAATCTCGCATGGAAATTCAAATATAGCGTGTTTTCTAAAATGGAATGTTTTTTAATTGGTACCTGTATAAAAAAAAATTTGGTATTTTTGATTTTCGAGTAGTTTTCTCAATAATTGAGCAGACCCGAGAAAACCGGAGAAACTATACGTTCGTTCAATTACGGTTTCATCATTTTAGATTTTATATTTTTGTTGTAATTTGGTCATACAATTATTTTTGAGACCGTCAGTTCGTTCAGAATATTTATATTGGCCTTTTCTGGACGTAATAATATGCTCAAAGCATTCTGGCGAGTTTCGAACAATTTATGGGAATTTGATATTTTCGTGTTTTTTTTTTTGGTTTTTATGTATTTAGTTACACGAGGATACAACAGTTTGGCCGAACAGAAATGTTTAAAAAATTTAATATGAGGTTTATATCATAAGTTGTACTTAGTGTTAGTATGGTTTTTTTTTTTTGTTTTTAACGTATCGTATAACATTTAGTTATTCGTCCTGGCCAGGGACGTGTTTACCCTATGGCCAACCATATGGCTATAGCTAGGGAAAATGTTGAATTGCGGAATTTGGTGACAATCGAGATTGAACGTTTGAATGTTTTTTTTTTATCATTTACAATTTTTAATGGAAATAATAATTAATTATTTTTGTACACAAAACCGTATACAAAACAAATGTAAAAGGAATCATAGCCGTACAACGAAAATAGTCGAGCATAGAATTGCCGTGTTGTACAACTGTCAAACGTCGGTCATCGGTTATTAGGTCGGTTAAGTCGGTGAAGTCGGTGAAGTCGGTTCCGCGCAGAGCGTTTTGGCTGCGCACCGTTGCGGTTTTTACGCGCGGCGGACAAACCGAACGTCACTTGTTCACGCGGTGGATTTGGACGGGAGAAACCGCGCCGCCGATCGTCGTGGACGACCGACCGCGACCGGCCTTGTTCGGCTTTCGGGCTGTCCACGGACGGCATTTCCGCTCGCTAAAATTAAAATACGAGTTTCCGATAAGCCCCGCGATCCGCCGGCGATCACTGAAACGCCGTTGATGCCATCGCCCTCGAGGCACGGAAATCGCGTCGGAAGCGTTGAGCCGCGTCTTCGCGCCGTGTCGTCCGACAAACGCGCAAGTGCCGCCCGGCTTGTCGAAACGCGTCGGGTCCGGTCGAACGCGACCCGAACCGAGCGGGCCCGGGCCAAACGGAATCGAACCGACCGCCGCGGTAGTGTCGCTGGAGGAGCGCGTCGCTCGGCTTTCAAGCCACGGCCGGCGTGTTCGCATAGCTCCGTCCGCGACCGAAACCGACGAACAAACCGGTTCTTCGTTCTGTTTAGCATTGTTTTTTGCCGGGTACATTTGTCCGGTTTTAGTTTTTTTTTTTTTTTAAACTCGAGTGTACCGTTATTGACGAATTCGAGCGACGGACAAACAATCGGTTTTATCGACACGGTCGAAGTCGATCGCGGCGCCCAGCGCATTTTACAGGCGATTAATAATAACAATCGGTTAATATTGAACGTATTAACGACGTTAGAGCAATAAGACAACGAAAACGCGTTTCGTTAAAAACACAGTCGTAAAACGCGTCGGTCGACCGGTCTACGCGTATCCGACGAGCCGAATGTCGATCGTCGATTGGGGGACGAATTTATTTCCGCGCCGTTTTATTTCGCCAGTTCGTTTCTATTGCCTCGCTCCCCGGCGATTCGTCTCGCGTTCAATCGACTCTGAACGCGCGAAATCCTACGGGACATTATTGCGGTTTGGCCTGTTCACGAGGCGAGGCACGCACGGTTTCGACCGGTTTTTATCGCGCGCGGCAACGACAAACGCCGAACCGTATTCAGAACTCGGCATTTTCCGCGCGACCGTAACGCGCTGTTATTATTATTGTAACCGTCAGTTTTCACTCGTGTTTACCGTCGGTGACGAACGCGGAAAAAAAAACCGGAGCCCGGTACTCCGCGACACTGCGCGTAAATCGCACCGGTTCGCGTTCGCACAACAAACGCGTACGTTTTTTTTTTTCGCAAACCGATAACGGCGAGCGCGATGCACGCGCGAGTCGTTTCGGCTCTCGGACCGTGTACGAACCGTTAACCGCGTAACGGTTTTATTATTAAACAACGCGATTTCGCTGCGAAATAATCACGCGCCGCGTTTCGCGCTCGCCCGCGGACGCGCAGGGAAACTATTCCCGAAGGGTTGAAACGTATTGTGTAATTAATCTCCCCGCAGCGGGGCCGTCCGCGTCCGGACGGAGATGCGATATTAACAAACTGGCATTCCTCAACTTTTAAGCGTTACGCGGACGCGGCGCCGTGTGCACGGGTCGTCCGGGGCGATTTACGAGTTTAACGCGAATATGGGGGAGGGAGGGGGGGATATTACAATATTAAACCGATGGCGAATAGACGAATGTACTGTTATAACAATAACGATTTCACCGGGATTTCGAATTCCGTAACCGAAACCCCGGGACTCTTCTCGGTACTCCGGCAGCAAAGTGAACACCGTACCACGGTAGATTTCGAACGCCGCGCGTGCGAGAAATTCTAATTTTTCCCCCGTTTTCTCGTTTTCCGATATTAACGCTCCTCTCGTTGCGGCACGCGGCGTCCGCGTCCCCGGACGTAGCCGAATGCATTTTTTTTATTCCGAATTCGTCGTCCCTGACCGTTCGAGCCGTACACTCTGTCACCCCCCCCCCACCCCCGTAGCCGCCTTCTCGAGTGCCTGCTCTTCAACCCAATCGTTCGATTATCGTTTTTGATACGCACTCCCGTAACCGAACACCGAATATCGTCTTTTCTCTCGCCGGGTCGATAATATTTTCCACCGTGGTTGCCGTTCGGTCGTCGTTCATATTTTTTTTAACACTTTTCGTTCGTGACTCTATCGGCCGGTGACATGTAATTTTACCGTTTCGCCGAAGAGCCCGGCCCAACGATACGTATTTTTTGTGCTTTTGCATTTTCGTGTATTTACAATACGTTTTATTACGTGTTTTTGTACCGAAATACTTGCTCCGGTGTTCAACTTCTGTAGCTGATGTGCGTTTTAAGTTCGAATTTACGACGAAACCGTTTTACCGTGGGCACGAATTATTGAAGGTACCCCGATCTACACGGCCTATGTGTTTATCGAAAAAAAAAAAAAAAAAACATCAATTAAAAGGATTTGCGTTTTTCGCGCGAATTATTAAAACATCGATTCGATGTATTTTATTATTTATCGGCACCCCCTTTGCCGTTATTGAAAAATACCGGAAACGTCACTGCCCGTGCATCTCGAATCACCCGGGCGGATATAATATTTATATAGTACACTGCAACGACGTGAAAAATACTGCACGACCGTTGCACGCAGTAGCAAAACTGCAGCCGACCTATATAATAGGCATAACATATTATTTTTTTTTTTCTTTCCGTACGCGTCCGTATATAACGGCCGAACGAATTCGTTTCCATTGTCAGTATTGACTGTTGAGCATATTTGATATTACCAATGTATATGATATAATAATAGTGTCGCATACGCCGCGATTTTTTTTTTTTTTTTTTCGATCAGACGAAGTTATAGTCCGTTCACGGAAGAATGGCATTGTCCGCGCGCGCGTGCCCTCCAAGTCCGACGAAAGGCCGCCGTACAGACTATAGCGATTTATTAGTAATAATAATAAACGAAATTCTCCGTCAGAAAGTCGGCGATATTTCACAAGCGGAATTTATCGCAATTTGAAGTACGATTACATACAGTCGGTACGGACTATAAAAAAAAAAAAAATAAACACATAGACCGCCTAGACCATCGAACCCAACGAAAATTTCGCACGACTAAATAACAACACGATACGATCAGGATTTTAGTACTGTGGATCTGTGTCTCATTTACGAGAGGCCATAAGTCATAATTAATTTTTTAATATAATTTTCTGCTTCTCTGTGGTCCTTGGATTTCTCATGTTTAATAACTTTTTCATATCCTTTACGGAAATTAGAAACGCATTTATTAGGATTAGACCAATGATAACTATGCTGAGATACAGATCAAAACAAAAAGCAATTAAAACGAAACATTTTGTTAGCTTTTGGGGAATATACTAATCAAATTTTTTTACAGCACGTTCCTGATTTAACATCTTTGTTATAACAGTTGGAAGAAATTTTTTTGCCGGACACATTTTCTTCAAAAACATCATCATTATTATCAAAAACCAGGTTGATAAGGTCTTAATCGTATATCGTCAACAATAATTAATCGTTGCGGATAGATAGAAATTAAATAACTATATGTGTTCTACCCTCCCAACTTTCCATCTACAACAGTCACAAACACATCAGCTCTTTTTTTATTATTTTGGAAATAACATTAGATCAATCTATTTGCAACAGTATTTTAATGGGAAAAATAATACGTTTGCCGTCGTCGCTGGAAGTATAGCTAGGTGGGTACCTAAAAACAATAATTGGGACAATAGTACTTTTAATATTGTATATAATATATGTATAGAAAGAAAAACGTATCAACTAAAAACGATTTTTTTTTTTTTTTTTTTTAAACGTATATGAACCGATTTTAAGTATTTTTATTTTTTGTGTCTGTAAACAAATTTTACACCGGAAATTGTACACCAATGGAAACCTCTATTAGAACTTCCTTATATCATATTTGATAAAGTTAATGTAAAAAAGAGTTCAATGTGATTTTTTAGTATTCTTGATATATCGGAAAATATGGCAATTTGTGTCGATTTCTGCAAGGTTACAAAGGAAACGATAATACGACTAACAATTAGAATATTATTAAAATCGATTTTCATTAACAACGCTTGATAGATATAAACTAAATTGCTCTGTGCTCAAACATTTCTTTCAAACTACCCTCTTGTGACAACAGTGACACGCCTATTAGTAATATAAACCTTATTTAATTTTTTTTTTTTTTAACCATAAAAAGTTATATTAAGCTGCATTTGACTGGTACGTTTCTATGGTTCTAAACTAACGCTTTGATGAACGTCCTGTGGAATATAGGTAGTCAAACGTTTCGGTTTGATGAAACCAAGTTTTTCCATAAAAAACCGCGTAAAAACTGGAATAACACGAATATTGAACATTTATATATATAATTAAATAGCTCTAAAATCGTCAGAATGCGTACACAATTTTACGGCGTTAATAAAAGATCAATACAAGTATTCTGAGAAAATGTCATGTTTCTACAATCATTTTCAACCGAACTAAGTACGATAAAAATAAAAAATCGTACATTACGAGTGTAATATTTATAATAATGTCCGACGATTTGAAAAATATTAAACACGTCTGAAATACCTACAGTTAGCATGTATTCATATGGGTACCCTAATAGTACCCTTGATTGAGGTCTCCCGCGAGAACTTCAACAATGATCCCGGCGGGCAGTTCGTTATTATACTTTATTTTTTTCATATTAACCGAAATCGTCGATAACTAGAAAAAAAAAAATCGCATTTATTATGAAACACGAAAATCCTTTTAACTACCTACTACAGCAGTGGTCGAACGTTGTATTTTATTTTGAATATTTTCGCGACTGACACGACTGTTCCGTATGACGGAATCTCCGATAATTCAGGTATTACTTACCATGATTTCTGACAGAATTAAAAAAAAAAAAAAAAAAAAACATTCGATTTCGTCAAAAACCAATGTTGCGAGAATTGCACCGATGCGTTAATAAAAAAAGTTCCAGGGAATTTTACACGGTACAATACATCATAAATTATAACGTTATAAACAAAATGTATAATTTTGAAATTCGCTGGTTTTTTGTTGCGCTAAAAAATGTTATTGTTTTTCATCGATTGGTAATCAGTCTCGGTATGTATTGTAATATCATAACATAGTTATTGACTGTAAAAATAAAAAAATTCATGAATAATCAATGCAATTATGGTAGCTAAACTTTATAGTATTATCTCTTATGAGTCAAAAGGGTTTGACGAAAATTGTTTAAAACTACACAAATTTACCAACTCAAAATTTTACAAATTAACTGTCCAAATAAATGTGCACGTCGTTATATTACGACCGCGTATTAATTGTGTAATCGGCGAAGTTTGTGGGAATTTTTATCGAATATTCACTACGTGTCCACCCCACACTACCTTAAAAAAGATCCACGTGCAGTCAATTTTACTTTTAGATACTTCTCCAGTTACCCCTACCCCATCAGTTCGAGTATTTACAAAATATTTCGTAATAAAATCTACACATTAAAGTGTTAATCTTTCATTTTCTGGTGCACGTGCGCATTAAGCAAAATTTACTCTACCGGGTGTCCAATGGTTTTTTTTTTTGCATTTACGTTTGGACACATAATATTTTCCAAAACGTATTCACACAAATTGAAACAAAAATATCTAATTTATACATTGTCTTCTTGAGTCTCAGAGTGTTTTTTGATTTACTCCAACCAGTATTTAAATACAACAACAACAACAAAAAAAAAAAAGTGGCTTTTATTATTATTTTTATAAATTAATATTTATAACTAAACGAAAATGTCAATCTCGATAGATAAAAATTCGCGTTCTTTAATGTTTATTATAATTATAGGTTGCAGTTTTATGCAAAAACGTACCAACTCGTTTCCGAGATTAAACGATTTTTTTAAAACGAGGTTTTTATTTAAAAAAAAAAAAAACATCCTTGTTGACATCCTCTTAAATTAAAATAATTCGTCTCTATATAATGTCGACCGAATAATTTACGTTTATGTAAATATTTTCGTAACGAACGTTTTTGAACGCGTTCTGCGATGGCAATAACGCCATCCGTCACACCGATGATTTTATCGTATTATCGAATTATTTTCCAAACGGTGTCTTTTATAGAGCGAAATTATCGGTGTATACGGAGGCTTCGTTATTGATACCGAATCCGTCGGGATATTTTTTAGTGAATAAACAATGTGTGTTCACTTCTGCTTCCTTGAACAAAAAAAAAAAAAAAAATCCCCACTAGCAAATTGATCAACCATTCTCGTTTAACATTCAGATTTTCTCCAATTATTTCTCACCGATGAGAGCTAATGTGAGGGTGTTTCCTAAATAATTTGTTACTCATTCTTCTATTAATTTAATTATTTAGTATATATTTTCTACAGTAGACACGCGAGACGATATGTCCAACGGGCTTTACTGTGAGTCCATTTTGACACGGAAAACCTCCTTAAAAAATGCCGTTTAATTCGTATAAACCGACCCTGCAACGTACGACATCAGTTTACGTCCGAACTCGCGTAATCTGCCGCGGTAACCGCAGTGACCGCGAAAAAAAAACCCGGTTTTCGGTGAAATTGAGCGACGGTTCATGTCCGAAAACAGAAAAACAAATCGAATCCCGTCGGAAACACGCGAAAATCTATTAATATTATTATTATTATTATTATAATTGCACGTGATATCGGATGACAGATATTGTCTCTGCAATCTTACACAAAACAATAATATTTTTCCGTCACTTGCCACGATCAAACGTCACAACGAAAAGAAAAACGCGTAATCATATTTCGGTAGCTTTGCAACGAATACGACGACGCGGTTTTTTTTTTCTCGATTTTTAAGACGATGAAAATCGTTCGAAAAGTCAAACTAAATTGCGTTCACGTATAGTATGCACGGTATTGTAACCCGGTAATTGAATTGTAATCTTGGCGTTTTCATCGATAAAATCATGTAAAAAAAAAAAATAGAAACAAAAAATTCGTTCGCGTTAGGTCCTGAAATTCTTTTTTTTTTTAACGCTGTAATTTGTCGTTATCGTTATTTCGCGAAATTGAAAAAAAAGATGAACACTGTGTAAAAAAAAAAAAAAAAAAAAAAAAAAACTAAAAATTATCTATAAATAACAACTACTTATACGGGTTATGTGTATAGATTGCGTTAACGCACTTAAACAAGCGGACGGGATCGCCGGTTTTCGTATTTCCAAGCAGAAAGCATTTTCGAAATGATTCCGATGCGCGGTTAATAGACTTTGTGCGTTGAACTTGCAATGTTTATTATTTATGAACGTTTTGATAGTCCGGACACTAAGTATAATATTATAACGGGGCAAAGCGGTTTATGGGGAAATAATAATTTCGTTATCCATTACTTTGTCCCCGTCCAAACTTTAAACGCTTATCAATTATGAACGCGTAATATTAAAGCGATTGTTGAATATTGTATGGAAGAACGTATGTGTGTTTAGTATATAATAATTATTATTTAAACGTTTTCGTTCGGGTATCGCAATAGTGTAATAAATATATCGTTTCGGTAAAAACACGAATAATATTATGAAGTCTGTACGTCCGGACACCGGTATACGATAAATAACAATATTGGCGTGCGTGGTTTTAGTTTCTGGACCAAAACCGTAGCCAAAAGGGGGGGGGGATGGTGGCGGTAAGGGGGTCGTGACTTCCCCCTTAAGCCGTGTTAATTTATATGATGATTATTTACACATGAACGCGTCATGCTCGTCGCAATATCTCCCGGGATAACAGAGATATACAATCGAATACTGTTTTGTTTCTATTACTCGCAGGGATAAGGACCATAAATATATTTCTATTTTAATCACATTTTGACGTTTTGGTAAAAAGAAAAAAAATAAACTAAAATAAAACTTTTATTTTATTTTTTTTCGAATAATGTGAAGACGTCAGAGCTTGTTCTTCTGAACAATATGACATTTCGACTTTTAATTTCCATTGAACTTGTGATTTTTCATAGTTTTTTTGAGTTCAGAGAAAAGTATTTATAATCATACAGTAGACAGCTGTAGCGTAACGATGGATCTATTGGTTTTATTACGATGTGCTACAATTAATTTTACGGGTTTTTTTTACGTTATTTTTGTTCGACAGGTACCTGCCTACTCTATGGATAAAATTGTTAGACCACATAGAAATAAAATGCGAATTTAACAAGAGATTCTTTATAATCTTACTTTGTGGTAAAAAAAAAATCGAGTGTTACGTAGAATTTATTTTAATACGAATGTTTATATCAAAGTCTGTGGAAAATAATTTCATCATAATATGACATGCTATAATATATTACGGGTGACAAATCAACGCTATTAAATAAACTCCGATCAAAATGGTTTTTCATTGTAAACAATGGTTGTGTACGGGTATAAATTAAATTTCCCCTCCATATTCCCAACTTTTCACCTACAAAAGTGGCCTACTCATCGTGCGAAGTATGTCCGTTCTTTTTCTTCTGAACATTTAGAAAATTATTAAAAATCGTGAATTTAATGGACATTAAATGTCGATACGTCAAAATATTCAAGAGAATAAACTTTATACAATTGTTATATTCAAGTTTTCAATAATAATAATTGAAAATAAAAAGTTATTTTTTTTTTTAGTTTTTTACCAAAACGTAAATAATTAATTTAAAATATAAATGTGTGTAAACCTTATCTTTGTAAGTAGTATATATATAAAAAAAAAAATATATATATATATAATTAGCTTAATTATCTCTGGAGATATTAAAATGGGTAAAATCGTGTGATAGTATATTATACATACTATTTCACAATATTTGGTGTTAATTTCATTTCGAGTCATGTCTTCTATTTCCGAATGAACGTTTTTTCCACAGAACCGTATAAAAAATATTTAAGGAGTTGTAATATGCCAGAAAATAGACTCCAATGGTTGGTAACGGCTAATACAAATAAAATACATTAGAGTGAAAATTATATAATTACTGTTGGTGCTGAAAATTCTCCTAGAACTATGAACATGTGGAAATGAAATTAATATAGTTGCACGTTTTGCCGAAACCCATATTTTATTATATGCTTATTTCAGTACCTATTAAGATTTTTTAAAGACTCATTTTTGTTCAAATTATCCCATTAAAATGCGTATTGATGAAAACACTTTTCTAAATTGGTTTGGAGGTCGAAACTTCCGCCTCGTCTTTATCTACGCCCATGTCTCAAGCAAAACCCTGCTAAGCCCATCTCGATTTAAAACCCTGAATACGCCATTATTCTGAACGTACGAGGAATATATTGATTTAATTATGTGTGTTGTTTTTTTCTCGGTCGGCGAACGACTTGCTCCCAGAAATCTTGCTTTTCGATCGTCATCATCAGCTGTAGCACACATTCTAAAAGACGATTTCGCCCAGACAAGTCTAATTTCGGTAAAGCGGGAAAGAATATTTTTCGAACACATTTCTTGTCTTTACACGAAATGAAAATAATAATTGAACAAGTTCAAAAAACGCTTTTTAACTATAAAACAATTAAAATGCGCCCTTTGATACATTATATTCATTAGGTACATATATATATATATATATATTTATAATAAAGAAACTACATTTTAACCATGCCAATGATTAAATTGTAAGCGAGAAGGGAAATGTTTGTTCTCGAAACTTTTAAATTAGGTTTATTTTACGAACATATTTGTTGAAACACTTTTCTTGACACGAGTAATGCAGTGTAAACACACATATATCTAGAATCCGTATAATTTTGCACGATAAGACGGATCATATTATTTTGTCCCGTAGCCGCAAACTACCGGACGGTATCAATTACAATAGTACCTGCTCTTGATGCAATCAGTCAAATGGACCGAATACAGCGGATCAGCTGAAACGATAGTACGCTTATAGCGATATATTATACTGGATGTCAACTTTGAATTGAAAATGTATGAATTTTTGTAAGGTTAGAAGACGATTTTTTCTCTCTACATTGTCTCTTATCGAGGACAAGCGGAAAAACCGCGATTATAATGCAGTTATCTAATCGGTTTAATGTGCTCCGCTGTGAATCGTTTTTTGATCATGAATTAAATAATCTATCGTGTATTCAACAGTATAATAATAATAATAATAATATACCACGCCGACATTTTGCAATTTGTTGATTTGTCTGTAAATTGGAACCGCACGCGGTCGGCGACTGCGGCTACACTCTACGAGTGTTTATTATTATTTCCTAAACGCCGTTATATGAGAACGACTACAGAAAAAAACATAAATAACATATTTTATGAGCGAAATGTTTGAAAATCCTAAACAAATAAATTGGATGTTAGGTACCGTTTAAAATAAATTAAAAACACAAAAAAATAACTGTTTTTCGACCTACTATTAACCTAATAAATACAAAAAAAAAAAATGTCACTCGGTCCTTTTTCACATTAATACACATTAAATCGACGTGATATATTATTATATTATTATGTATGTAAATATATCTATTCTGTGCGGTTGAAAATAAATAATTGTGAGCGCATCATATGCGTATATGCATTTCAATAGTATAAATTGTTTCAACAATGATATTTACACTGTTTTAATTATTTTTCGCCATTAAACGTTGTAAATATAACGAGAGAAAAGTATCGCAATCACATTTTAAATAAAACATCATGTAGAGCAGAACAAACATTGATAAATCGAGAATAGTTATAGTAGACAACAGTGTGTATAATAGATGTAGGCGGGCGAACATTTAATTTCTAAATGGACAATAGTGTTTTTTTCTTCTGTTTTCTGTTATTTTTTTTTTCTTTAGAGGAGACATAATATACACTAATATACGTGTAATTATGATAAATTCAATTTAACTGTTTGTTAACAATAAATTAACAAACAAAATACGGATTTATCTAAAGTGTAAAGTTAAAAAACAATTTAAATAAGTTTTTGTACAAAAACAGTTCTGTGTGTGTGTGTGTGTGTGTAAAATATGTTTCTTTTGGCCATTGAAATAAACAAAATAAACAAAAATAATACTTTTTTAAAAGTTTTATTAAAGTATCAAATTGTTTTTTTTTTTTAAATTATTACTACTAAAACGTGTAATGACTTTTGACGTTCAGCATGGTAATAGGTACTATGTATAATGCAAAAGACAAATGTATTAACTGATTAAGTATTATAAAACTGCACGTTTATCCGAATTTTCCGAGAGTCAGTTATGGAAAAAAAATATTTTTATAGGTTGATGGACATAACGCGATGATCTGACACATACAATCAATTTTATTTTTTTCAAAAATATTTCAGTTGTATTTTCCTTGTAACAGTAGGTATGTAGAATCGCACACTATGATTTTTATATTTTATATGTTTATTTTTAAACTAAAAATAAAAAAAAATTGTTTTGCGAAAATCAATATGAGATAAAATATCATTTTATAAACATATTTTGAACTACACATTTGATGGTATACATTTTTACTGAATTCATAAATTTTTCAATGAAAAATAATTATTGAGTTTTTCTTCTTGTAAACTTCGAAAAATTGTAAAATCTTAACGATTCGTTATTAGCAGGGCTCGGAACTTATAGCAATTAAAATTCATAAAACAATTCTTTAAAACGTCAAAAAAAGTAAAAACTGTAAGGAACATAAATTCTCCTCTCAAATACCTCAGTATATAAAATACTATTTTCTAATATTACAAATATAATAAATAAAAATCACAAATAAATTTTTAAGTTATGAAAAAGATTAATTTGTGTTTGCAGCATTGGATAATTTTATATTAAAAGTTAGAGCCGTTAGAGAGGGGACTTTTACGCAGTTTCCTAACATTTTTACGGTTTTTACAATATTTTTAAATTCTTTTTTTAACGTTCAGAATTTCAATATGGATTTTAAGACGTGCTATTAATCCCGCGCCCTGTCCATTAGTATGTATGTAAATCAACACAATTTTATTTCAAAATATACATATATATTTTATAGAACATCTGTATATAGGAAAACAATTTTAAAAATATAAAATAGATGAATCACAGTTTTAGAGTTATAAAAAAATATACCGAAGAGAACAAAAGTTATTTTGGGTGTCAAATTCTCGGGTTACGCCCAGCTTACACTCTGTATTTTAACTTTAAATTGGCCGTGGATTTAGAGTGAAAATAAAAACAACAATACGCATTATGAAAAGCAATTATTGTAAATAATTTTTAAATGATTTCACACAATCATTTTACACGCAATACCTCGTGCACATAATATAATTATAGATTTTAAGTTTCCAAATCAAACTGAATCGGAATATTTCTGATGCAAAATAGATTACCATAAAATCGACCCATTTGTATTGCATAGAGTATTTATAAAAAAACAAGAGTAATACAATTTCCAAATTTTTATAATTTATTATTTTAACGGGGGATTTTTTTCTCAAAAGAATTCAATACAAAGTTTTTTTTAGGAATTTCAATAACAATCATAATACTCTGAGAACGAGCGATTCGCGTCAATTCGATAGACGACGCAAAACGTTTCAAACAATAATATTATTATTATTATTGTTATTATTCTGTTCGGAACAAAACGTTTATAATAAAAGCAGAACAGGAACACAGCAGCAGTCTCTTTGCGCAGCGTAGCGGTAGAAATTTATAATTGTATGTTTTTAAATATGAGTTTAAGTTGTACATTTAGTTCACAGGGAGGTATATACAGTGTGATCAATGACACTCATTGTATATCGGGATTTTTTCGTAATTTTTGTTTATCCGGACAATTTAAGAAACACTCTACAGATGTTACATTGCGATTTTAAAGACCCCCACAAACTCATAAAATTAATTATAATTGGGTTGAAATTCGTATTTACAAATAAATCTACTGTCAAGGATATCGGAATAATGTTACCCTTGTTGCGCCCGTAGCGAGAACACATTTTCCATTAATATGTACACAGACTCCGTTTCCACGTACTTATTAATTCAGGTTTTTCAATCGCGACCTCTAGTTAATTAAACCTAACTAATGAGCGACTGTGTCTATGGCAAAACATTAACATTGTATAGTATCACTAGATTTCCCGATAAGCGATATTTTAGAGCAATGGAATCGTTACCGCATCGCAGTTTGAGTTTTTCCGTATAAAAAATGTCCAGTCACTAAAATTTATATTCGTTTATTATTTATATCCAAAATTACAAAAAAAAAAAAAAAATTGTTTGGAAATTATTAAGAATTTCTAGGAATTTATAATGTCTTTAACGGAATTTTTTTAAGAATTCTCAATCTGGTGATTATAATTAAGTATTCAAATGTTAATAATTTTAACGATTTTCGAAATATAGTATTAACTGTAAATTCACATAGTGAATATGATCGTTTCGACTCGGTTCATGATAATTTTTGTTATTTTATTGTCAACTACGACATTTTGTTGCGAACAGTTTGTTTTTCTTTTTTTTTTAAATTTTTATTTGCACGCAATTAAATACAAGTAGAGTGAAAACGTTCGTTTAGTACAAGATAATAATTTAAAAAAACCTTCCCTGTTATTGCCACTGTAAATATTATATGTGCAATAATAACGTTTATTATTTCGTGTTATATTACGTATTTAAGATTCTAAAAATAGGAAGCAATATTTGAAGTTGTAAAAAAAAGATGATGTGGCGTTTTTATTATGCTGTTTTATTTGTATTTGTAAAATATTCCTTCCTTTTGGAAGGAAAGAAAATTATTATTATTCCAGTATCATTTTGTAAATATCAGGGTGTATAGACCGTTAAAAAAAGAACGGGTAAGGAGGAGAGGGGGATTCGAAATAAAAATAATTGAAATTTACGACACGTCAGGTTTTTTTATTAATATATTATAAAGAATGGGTAATATTGGTTTTTTTAGAATCGGTTAATATTACTGTGCAAGGAAAAACCATAGATAATAAAGAAATGGGCCATTGTAGCTTATCACACGGTCAGTTTTAGCAGTTGGTATGGAATATTACTTTTTTCTCCCATAGTTATGACAGTATCAATTTGCCCATACTTAATAAATAATAATTATTAAAATTATCAATAATATCAGTGGTATCTTGTGTTTGTTGTCTATTACGTATCATAAAAAAGGAAATAATAATAACTATTTGGTCTCATTTCATTACAAAATATCGAAGAACAGGTGATTCGTTTTATTAGTTTTATAATTTATTATGTCAATTAATGTGATTGCAATGAAAAGTTGTATTATGTCTAATAGAAATCTGTGATCTTTTTACGAAGAACAATTATGTTAGGTTATGTTAGGTTCCATGACACTGAACCAAAAATGATTTAAATTCAAAAAGTGCTATACAGCATGAAAAAAAGAACGCGATCCCATGCACACACGTTTTAGCCGTGTGTCATCCATTTTTTTATTATCTATGGAAAATGTGCGAAATTTTCGGAATATTCTCCAATACGTTCCTCTCCACTCAGAATCTAAAATCTTAAAAACACAGACAATTCTATACAATTCTATAGTTAAAAATGACCTAATTCAATTTCCTATTTGAGTTTTAAAACACAATAACTATTATTAATCTAATATGGCTCAGAACCATTTTTCATTGGCATTGATAGGTTGTGTACAGATATGAAATAATTCACCCTATGTATCCTGTACCTTCTCAAATTTTCATTATTCAGGTAATTTAAGTATATTTTATCATTGTACAAAAGTAGAAAATCTATAAAACAATATTAATTATGAATGTTCCACGAAACGTAATTCCGACTACGGTATTGCAGGTTTCCAATGCATTTAATAATTAAAAGCGTGTAATAGTGCAGATTTTCCAGAGTAATAATTTTCTATACCTATGTATATTATCGCTTTCCAAGGAAATTGTAAAGGCAAGTACTTAGTTCTATTTTATCTGAGAAAACACAGTTGGTATAAAACCTGAGCACGAAACTTTTTAAGTAGTCATTTGAACGCAGGTTTATGACCTTGTAAACGTACCTATACACATACATTAAATAGGTAATTTTTCAGATCCTTTAAAGGGGCGAAAAAAAAATAAATATTGAAAAAAATAACTATGCAAACAAGTGTCACGATGGTTTTAATTCTGATATCTACACTATCTATATCATGCAAATTTTACCAAAAAAATAGGGTTTTCATCGAATTAGCTCATATATAGGGCTGTGAATGTAATGCATTGATAAACCTTAAAAATGCAATAAATTGTTTTTAAAGAAAATGGTTTTTAATTTAATTTTTATACTTATTTTGATAGTACTGATATTATTGGTATTGATACATCACAAGCCCACAAATAACTAATCTAAGCAATATTTGCTTATTTTATCGAATCTTTATTTTTACCTTACCCGTATACAGATTGTATAAAATATAAATTTGACGTAAATACAGCCCGGGTAAAACAAAACACAAGTGTGTAAAGATGTTAATTGACGAAATTTGATTGAAAATACCGGGAAATGAACTAAAAAAGAAAATATGACTTAAAAAGTCCAAAAAATGCAAAGTAAAAGTTTCATAAATTGATTTGTTATGACATAATTCAGATTATGTACTTGAAAAATTACGATTTACAATCAGTTTAAAAAAAAAAAAATGCGTTTACCTATAAATTCACAACCCTACTCATATATATATATATATATATACATATAAATATTATATAAATGTGATTTTTTTTGAACTGACGATTATTTGTACCAATATTGTAGCCATTTATTGTACGTCCAAAACAAATGTACTCGAAATCTTATTTTTTTTTCGCCATATAACCAACGGTTCGCAATAAAAAACAACACCCTATATCGTCAGTTTTCGAAACCAAAAAGGGTACTACACTCACAACCTTAGCTGTTTCTCATAAATATATTCCAGTCGTGCGCAATAATAAATGTGACAACATCCGAACGAAACGACCGACGACGTTGTCGTCGTCGACGAGGAAGCGCAACCGCATAATAATATCCGTACGTTAACACATCAGCTATTAAAAATTACGCGGATGTACAAGAAGACTAAATGAACTTTTGATATCTGAAACCCAATGAAACGATTTAAAAAAAAATGAAAACGAAAAACTTTACAATGTTCGTTGCGTTGTGTTATGCGAGTATAATAATAATTATAACGATGATGACGAAGTTCGGGCTGGTTACGAAAACATTGTATATTTAATACACTCACCGTATACATTTGTTGCGGTAAAAGTTTTCCGCCACCGCCGTCTCCTCGTGGTTGTATTATTTTATGAACATGCGAGTTATACCTACCATCATATATTACAATATTAAAAGTTCGGCATAATGTTATAAGCATTTTTTCTTTATTTTCCAACTATATTACTCGTATTATGATTACGGCCGTACTTATTACAAATAATTGGACGATATCATCAAGTATTGTAAAAACTTCTATACGGTCCTACATGAGATAATAATATTTACATCGCCGTATACCGTGATAGTTGCAGCTGCCGCGATAGTATACGTTATGTGTCTATCATGAGAGGCCGCGTGACGGCAATACAGTATAAAAGACACTCGATAGTACAGAACAGGATTAAATTGAACGTGACTGCCGTAAACAAGAATCGACTAAAATAAAAAAATAGATATCTATTATGTTTTTTACATATATAAAAATAAAAATGTTCGACTTTTGATTTTAATTTTAACGGTTAAGTATTAAACAATGTGTTTTCGAACCTAGAGTATAAAAATCCTATAGCTAAATTCAATATATAATTTATAAATATTTTAGATTGTAGATACTTCAACGTTATACTGTATAGCTATCACGATTAAATTTAAAAACGTGTTTCGTTTGACTTTTGAATAGTTTTTCAAATTATTTATTATGGAGCAAAAAAAAAAAAAAAAAAAAAATATTTTAAAACAAAACTGTATTATTTGAATAAACCGCGTTTAAATAAATACTAAAATATACTTAAGTATAAAACATACATAATAATATTACGGTTTTTTTTTTCTCAACTCGTCGACTATAGTAGAGTGATTTTCAATCAAAATTATGCATTCAGATAGAAAGATTTGCAGATTGATCAACATCGTTTGGTAGTACGCGACAGACCCCCGTCGCATAGCATTAAGCGCTAGTGATCTGATTTTTACCAAGTGAGAAACTTTCGTCGTCTATACTGATCGTCGTTCCATTCGATTGTGCATCACAATTCGTGATTAAAACTAACTGCACAAATTCGGTCCTGCCGAACGAAAATTCGCGAAATGCCGTACGTTCCAAAGACGGAAACGGCACGAAACGCGGACGTCCTTTTATGATAATTAATACCGACCACCGAGTTACACCGGCAGTTTTAGTAATCGCACTCGTTGTGCAGGTATATTAAAACAATAGACCCGATAATATTGTAACGTCGAAACATAATATTATTATTATATCAGTTTTAAATCTCGTCGGTGTTGTACATAGTATTGTTTTACAGGAAATACGACAAAATCCCCTATCGTCTGTATTTACGGTTTGACAGCGGTGTAATATTACATACTGTTATATGTATTCGTTAAATATCTAATTAAAAATATTATACTGTCACCGCACAACCTATAAAATATGATCGAAACAAAGGATGGAAACTGTTTAATATTTTATACGAGTTTATAATGATAACAATATCGTTGAACAAAAACTGATAGATTTTTGCTTGATAATAGTATCCATAAAAAAAAATTTGTTATTTTAAATTATTATTGCAATTATAAACACTATTACTACTATTTTAATTACTATTTCAACGTTTTTTTTTTTTCACTATAATTAACGCACTCCTGTTCAAATCGCCCGATTCAAAGTAAATAAATAAATATTTAAAATATTTCGTTTTATTGTAATTTCAATAAAGATTTTAAAAAAAATCCAAATTAATAATCACTAATGATCGTGGGTTCACTAGTGGGTCGGATCTCAGTTTCTCAAAATGCCACTCAATAAACAGAGTAATTCTAGAACGACATGATTATTCATACTCAATCAACGCTAATCCCTTGTTACGAACGGATAATGTGATTTTAGACTTAGGTATCGCGTTTACCCACAAGTTCAAGTTTTATTCTTGTTTAGATCAATATATACTGTAAAACACTAAAATTTTCAGTTTTTGAAAGAATAATATTTGTATAATTAGTTTGCGTTACAAGTGAACCCCATAAAGTATTTACAATGTGCCTTTGTGAAGTCTATTTTGGAATACGGAGCTGGTGGATGCGATGCATTTATATCGTGTGGTTAAAACCAAATTTAACGTGTGTTAAATGTTGACCGCCCACCTCATCCGTCTCCAAACTATTTTCCAGTAATGGACAGACTTGGTTTGAGTACTTTGGCCATAGAAGTAAATAAGGGAAAGTGCGAGCTTGTGCGCACGTTGCTCTGCCTTAGTAATCTCAAGCCCTGCTACCTAAAAAATTTGAATACTAAATTAGTCTTTAATATTAAGTCTAAAACCTATTGGGTTCAAGACTTATGTATTTACAGGTTCTATTAATTACGTCTATGATTTTGGTCGATACAGACGGAAAGTTGCTAATTTAAGCAATTTATTTGTCATCTTTAATTATTTGATTGTGATAATATCTACTCTTCTGTGCTACTTGCTGTTGTTGACTTTAAAATCCAGTCTACTTGTGACCGTGACGCGTATCCGATTTGTGTACATAAATTCAACTTCGTTATGTACGATGCGTACGGCGAACAAAATAGGGACCCATTATTGAAAAAAAAAAAAAAAATTGTCATTCGTTAAGTACGTGGTTTACATTACAATAATAATTGCATGATTGGTCCGATTGGTACGACGGGTCCGTATGGATTGAAAAAAAACCCCGCGAAAACTGTCTTTTTAAATATCAAGCAACGTAACTTCGTGTCGACACGGCGCGGCGTCGGCGGCGTATATTTTTCCATCTAATAAAGTCTCTTCGGCGGTTCGGGTTATGCGTTTTTTGTCGTTTTCCATCACGCCCCTCCCCGCCCCGCTGTGCCACCGCGCCCTGTCGCCCGTCCTCGGAACGCCGGCCTTTTTATCTCCATTAAAGCGTCGCGGAGGCCGCTATTTCGTATACACCGTATACGCGTATAATTTTAGCGCAGCCGGAGACCCGGAACGGGCGGCGGCGCACCCGCGTTATATTATACATTATTCATTCGCCATTGACACGGCGAGAGTCCTAAAACCGGAGCTCTGCATACACTTACATGACGTATTAAGGTGCAGAGGCGACGAGAGCGGGTAAAAAGAGGTAGAAAACATATCTATCTTCTCCGGCGCGCGACATTATCAATATACGTATATATATATTTATAAACGAGCATCGACATCGCCGCGCAAGGTCGAGTACTATATTATATTATACCGTATAATATCTATAGGTTTATTGCGTATACGCAGAATGATAGAAAAAAAAAAAAAAAAAATTACGATTTTACACACATATAATTAGCCCGGTTTCAAGACGCGTAGAGCCGCACAGTGTTCGGATCTGGAGGGGGGAGGCTGCAGGGGGACAGCCTCCATTGATTTTTCCCGAAATTTTAACCTGCCCCCGTACATCAACGGGGGCTGTCAACATATACCTCTAATTCTATAGTTTTGTTTGATTAAAAGAAATAGTTTTGGTTTTTTTCTTCGTTATCTTAGGATTTGTGATTTTTTTTTTTTTGTTGAATTTACCTAGTTTAAAAAGATCAGTGTTGGCGCGAATTCAAATGTGTCTTATCAAACATCAGGTGTACTACGGTCACCATACTGAGATATACGATATGGCGTGATTTCAATCACAGAAGTAACCCACTAAGCCAGAAACCGGGTAAGGCACATATGGTTCCCATCAATACCGATCGTTTTGAATATTTTTCAATTTATTGATTTTTAAACTCAATTTTTTAAAGAACTCAATATTCATGATAAAAAATTAATTTCATTTCTGAGCTTACTGTGTTCATTATTATAAGATTTCTGGATTTAATCAAACATTTTTGTTTTAATATCGAGATTAATTTTCGTTGAAATTTGAACTTAAACCTCTCGCGAATAAAAAAAAAATGACTAAATCATCACGTTCAATTTTTTTGTTTGTTCATATCACCTATTGTTGTACGTGATATATGCAATAAATTTATTTTCGGTTAGTTTGTTTCTGATGACTGTTCGTCAAAGTCAATTGTCACGCGTTTCGAGAACCGTTGATTTTTATTATTATATTAATATTGTTATCTGAAATTAGTTTCAATAAAACACAGAGAAAAGTATAACAAAAAACGAGAATTTATCGAAAAACAAATAAACGATTTAAGAAATAATATTTTATATGTATATCCCGTTTAGACTATTTGACAAAAAAAATTTCACTCAAAACATTTTCCTTTCAACGTAATTCCGTAATTATTGAAAGTCACGACATCAGGTAACTGAAAAATGTCTACTGTAAATCGAACGACTGTAAATAATAACTACTCTGATTGTAATAACGAAAATATGGATGATATAGCTGCAGCATAATTTTGTATTTATTTTTTTTTTTATAATTTTAATCGTGTAAAATGTTTAAACAATTTTTTTTTTTTTTTTATTGAAACGCTCAATTATTAATAGTATTACTTATATTGTAATAATTAATAAATAACGGTACATAATGTTTATTATGTATTTTTTTTTTTCTTATCTACCTATAATTATTGGTAATCACAAGACGCAATAGAAACTTACGGATAGGGAAAAAGCACTAAATGGGACGCAACCGACCGTCTCCGGAGAGGATCACGCGAGTGACTAAGGGTCGAGTTTTAAAGTCCTTGTTCTTTTATTTATCTAATACGAGCAAAGCGTACTCAAACTAATATTACGATAGTAATACTATTGTTTGCACCGCGGAGTTTCCCCATGATGATTTCATATTATACTTATGTGGGTCATGGACGACACTCAAAATATAATCAATTTAAGAGGACACGTCATCACCGCTCCTAAATTGACTATAAATACTGTATTGCGCGGGAAAAAATTAATCGGACCGTAGTTATAATGAAGAAATCGAATTTTCATCACCGAAAAAGGAACACTAGCGTCGCACAACGCAGTAAACATTTCTGGGAGGGTTAAGGTTTTTAAAGTTAAGCTTATGCATCGTTTTTCTATAAAGACACACTTGAACATTATTGGAAAGTTAAAATGTTTGGAGGGGGAGGGAGGGTTGAACTCCTTAGTCCCTCATTGTGCACGCGCCTGGTGGAACGTTGATTTAATGTTGTAGACATTACAAACACCAAAATATGTGTTATTTTTTTTAAAAATCTGATCGTTTTTAAGGTTTTTAAACTAGAAATACTTTGTTTGTAATAGTGATAGGTTTCAATAATTATAATTAACGATGCACAGAGTGTTAGATCTCTTGTGTTATTTGTTTTTTGTATTAAGTCCATACGTCTGAGTAGATTTTTCCAGCTATGAACGGTTAACCCTGACCATTTTTGTGAATTTTCGGATCACACAAAAAATACATGTAAAAATTACAAGGGAATACTTGTAAATGTATTTGAAAGTGAATTTGAATATATTTGAGGAAAGAAAATTTAATTTTCTGAATATATTTGAGAAAATAGGCTTTATGGATTTTTTAGAGTATACGTCATTATCGATCGACCAAAAATTATAGATTTAAATTCCTACAGTAGACTGAAGATCAGTATACGTCATATTGGTTTTTGTTATTTATTGGTTTTCCTCTTTCGGTGAACTCTCTTTCTCTCCATCTTACTTTTTCTCTTTCTCTCTCTCTCTTTTTTTTTCTCTTTGAATGCATAAAAAGTTATCCAAAAGTTTCACAAAGCTCTCGATCCTCGAATTATTCTCATCTATAAACTAAAAACCCGACACACGCACATATGGTACATGTAACTACTCGAGATGGATTAGTTTTTGGGAAATTTAAGTATATTTTTTTGCTCGGGATATATATTTTAGAAAACTATAGAAACAGTTACTGTTCGTATGTCTATTCGTCTTGATTTTTTTTTCCTTTTTATTTTTTTTTTTATTATTATTATAAATTCGAATAGTTTTCCATAAAATATTTCATAAGAAAATGAATGTCTTTTAACATCTTGGCACGTCTCATATAATATAGGTTTATTAAATCACCGTGTTCGTCGAAAATGATTTGTTGCATGCACTCGCATACTTTCCCTCGTATGCCATATAAATGCATATTTTAAAATATTTCCTAAATATTATATATCTGTATATAAACTACATTAGGTATATTCGGCGATATTATTGCTAGCCGTCAAAAAATGCTAAGGGGCCAAGCACAATATTTCACTGTTGCCAACCGTCCTATCACAAAACACCATAATTTCGTGTGCATTATCGTGCGACATTTATACCTACTTTAAAACATGTTTTACCCGACGTGACACTTCCCGTTACTCTATTGCTCATTTATTGTTAACTGGCGTGGTGTTCGACGACTAAAGGTTTTACGATTTTACTTATATGGATCTAACACTTCATTGGAGAAGTAACCCGGGGGTGAACGTGTATTTGTTTTTTTTCGACGTTTGTGTTGTTCCAGGCCCATATCATTTCATCAATGATTGGATATTATACTACGCGTTTACAATAATAATGGTACGAATTTCGATAAAAATCTAAAAAAAAAAAAAAAAAAAAATGTAATATTAATATTGGTCGACGCTGTAACCGTACATCTAATACACAAATAATCGTACACCAATCAATGTTGAGAATTTTCGTTCGAATAATTAAACGGCAATATTGTTTAAATCTCTTGAAAACGTCGATAAGACTTAAATCTAATTATTTGTATACGAAGCTTAGCGCCCAAACTCCCTCTTCGGCCGAACGGCGGACGTTCCTCCACTACACACCTCCCTCCCTTTATATATATGTATAGTTTCGCAACATCACTTTGCCCACTTTCCAGACGTCACGTCGCTCAGTTTTCCCATTAAACTTAGATTCGGACACAACAATACCGGATCATGCGCATCACTTGAACCGTTGTTTGTTGTGCAGGGTGCGCAGCGATAAAGAAGTCGAAGAAGTATTTTTTTCCACTCATAACCCGTGACGACCGCACAGTTCACCACCTCGCGTAGCCGTACGGGCAGGTACTTTTGAAATACTATGACTGGACAATTATTAACAATGAAAATATGTATAAGGGGTATTATTAGAAACTCGACACCTGAAATTACATTTTTCTGCTTAAAATGTATTGTTTTTTTTACTTGTAAAAACTGTTTTGTGCGGGGAAAAACTTTCATGGATTAGGTTTAATGAAGAAATCCAATTTTCACCACAGAAAAGAGATAACTTGCAAAGTTGCACTTTGGTTTTTTTCTTTTCGATATTACAAATAACAAAAATCGTTATGATTGTTTAAAAATCGAATAGTTTTAAGTTTTTCGAACTCCAATAACTTTGTTCGTAACAGTAATATTTAAAAACTAAAACGAATTTTGCACAGTGCGAATTCTCTTTGTTTTATGGTGAAAATTTGATATATTTTAACAGAGACCGAGAAGTTTATGCTCACGCGAAACAGTTTTCATAGATATTTTATGTAAAGTCGGACATACTTCGCACGATGGGTGGGCTACTGTTTCAGTTCAGTTAATAGTGTTGTTTTATAAATAATATACAGGATGATTTATTAAACCTAACACAACACATATTTTTGATTAAATTTTACATACATTCAAATTTTGATTTTGGGAGTTTTAAAATCTAGTTAAACTTGATGTATTCGAATATTCAGATTTTCCACAACACTTAAGGAGTATTATATGGTGACACCAACTTTGGTTTTTTAAATGAGAACCTATAATAAAAATTACAAAAATGAATGGACAATTATAGTTAAAATAAATTTTGTTGTTAATATTTTTGATTTCCGTTGACCCATTGACGAGATGTTTCATTTTTTCTTTTAGGTAGGGGAGAGTAGTGGAGCACTAATAAAATGAATCATTCTTATTAACAATTCATATTATAGACAAATTATTGCAAATGCATTAATTATTTTTATTTAATAAAATTTGTTTAATATTGTACATATTTTCCTGTTTTTTCCCATTTACAATAATAACAGCTGGGAAAATCAAAAAATGGCCTCGCTTAAGTACCAAAATCCGCTCGAAATCTAAAAGATTGTTGAAATAATATTTCCGAGAGAAAAATTTCTCACGGATAAGAAAAAAAATCATACACACACACACACACACACACACACACAAATTAAAATAAAACCAATTACATTCCTCGCTACTCTGAAAATTAAAAAAAAAAAATTGTCTAAAACCAAAGATCTTCTTCCGCGAGACCGAAGTGATATTTGATTAGAAAAAATATGATAACGACACGGTATATTATTATAATATTATAATAACGCACAAAGTCGGAAATCCGGTCAAAACCGACGCGTTTATATTGTAATTAGGTATGAAAATATAATACGACCGTAAGCGAATTTTATTGTTCCCGGCGGTACACGGAAAAACTCCCCTAAGATATTATTTTTAAATTGCTAGGTAACCGACCTCATACGTAATATTGTTATTATAATAATAATATTTTTTTTTTTTTTTGAAGCCGGTTACCCGCGTCAGATAGGGTACCCACCAACCTATATCATCGCGTACACACCGTTTATAGTTTTCAGAGCAACGAAGTTTCTTTTTATTTTTCTTGTTTTTATTCCTCGTCTACCAAATTAATATCTGCGCGCGCAGACTTCATGCACGTCAACCAAATTTTATTATAATATTATTATTATTATTATTATTATTATTATTATTATTATTATTATTGTATGGCTGACGCGACACTAGCTCGCTTCGCAGTTGCCGCGTGTAAAAAACTGATGCCTACCTGCGTCGGCGCACCGAATAATTACAGTGTCATGACACGTTGTGAAATTCCTGCGGAAATCATCGAAACTTACATTGTATCCTTATCGTCAAAACACTCTTTCGGATTTCACTATCCCATATCGTTTTAAAACCCCGTTTATGTTCGACCCCTTAACGGTCGTCCCGCATTATCTTTTACAACTGTATTATTTTATGTTATACGATCGATTTCCAGTTACCATATCGCCGTATTAAGGTTGCGCGTTAGGTTACGATGAATTCGATGAAAAAAAAAAATCAAACCGAGCGATCGGAAAATAAATCTACTATGGAACAAAATCGTGACGCTGTTATCGTTGTAAATTTGTATACGGGAATTTTCGAACCAAGGGACGACGTACTTAATTCAAAGAAAACAAAAAACATATTGTTATATTATTATCGGAATACGACGGGTAATAATATCATCGATTTCGATTTCGTTTCGATAATGATAATTGTTACCGATACAATACAATTCGGTTTTCGGGTTCAACTTCAAACTATTTATTAGGCTCCCCTTACCTCCCCCCCCCCGAACAATGTAGGTATAAAAAGTAATTAATTTTGAGCTCGACTGTTTGTTTATATACATATATTTAAATTTCAAGCAATCTATTTTCAGTAGTCATTAAACTATCAATTGTGGTACGTCCATGTTATATACAAGATTACCTCGTTCTGTGAAACGTTACAACCCTGTTATCTAAGACTAAGTACCAAAATTTAACCGCTTTCCTGTTATCACAGACTGCCTTATTTTTATTTATATTAACAAATCGTACTTAGTTCTTTGATCATTTTTAGATTCTGAGTGTAGCGAACAACGTATTGGTTTTACAAAGATGTTATATTTTTAAATTTTTTTAAAACACATTTTTTTGTAATATATACTGTGGGGATGATGACCACATTCGAATTTTATAAGAAACAATGAGATAAATACAAGATTTAACTGTAAAGTAATCATTCGTAGTATTAGATTTTATACGCCGTGCGTGGTACACGTCACACTCGGCGTACGACCACAGACAGACTGAAAACGGTGAAAATAATGAAATCATAAAAATAAATAATAACACAAGGAATAAAATTATCGTTGCCGTTGTCGTCACCGTCGCTGACGCACGACGGCAACACGAACAAAAATGGTAAATCCATAAATAAACATTTTCTACAGTATAAGACGTTAAATGTCACAATCAAATTTCTACGAGTTAAAATAATAAATGGAATTTTACGAAAATTAAATGTTTTTTTATCATGATTCATATCTGGGAGATTATTTATTAGAGGAAATTGGATTTTTGTTGTTTTTAAATTTCGGTGGAAGTCGAGATATCAGCCGTAGTCTCGTATAACAGGAAAGTACCTCAATTATATTATAAACTATAATACAATACCCGACTAAATTAGAATCAAATACTAAAAAGTCGGACATAATTACGCAGTACGGGTAGGCTACTTTTTTGTGTGCGTAATTTCAGTGACGTAGATAAACCGTTCTCGAATTCTGGGAGTGCTATTTTCTAATTTATTTTGTTTTACAAAAATCAAAAATTAGTGTTTTTGAGTAAAAACTTCATTAGTTATCAAATATCATATTTAATATATGAGAATAATAGTGGACAACGAATGTCAGTGGATATAACTCTCGTAATTTAGCTCGATGTATATATGAGGTTCCTTTGTGCGTGTCACACTGTCACACATGGTAGCCATCACACAATTATATTATTATTGTCATAAACAAAAATTTCAATCTTTTTACGTACTAAAACAATTTTTACTTTTGAAAATAGAACTTGTAGGTAAACATGTACAAAGTGTCAAAATGTTTTGGTAGTTTCAAAAGATATGTTTGCCTTACAACTTAACACATGTCAGTGGTGGTGCGACAGCTATATTTTCACATTGCATTTTGGCAATTTACGCCACTGGGTAATTTAGTTTATACATATGTGCGAATAATATATACGTAGTATATAATGTAGATAACTGTAAATATTATAGCAGATGAAATATTAAAAAAAAAACAAAAAACGATACTCACGGCTAGAAATTTCGCACTTTATGATAAGTAATATATGAAAAAATTATAACAAATTTACTCGCAGTGTTTTCAAACAAAAAAAAAAAACACGTGAAAATCATTTTAAAATGTACTGGAAATTCCGTAATTTTAGGTACGCATATGACATGAAAAAATCGAAGCATTTATTTATACTATAATATATTGTATATAAATAAACAATTTATAATCGTGTTTTACGAGAAAAACACAAATACACATGTACACATCTGATTGATCTCATAATAGTTCCTACGCTACATCCATAATCTAAAAAAAAAAAAAACAGAAAATTTGTCATTTTTTTTACTAGGTAGATAGGCGTTAAACGAATATTTAGATACAATTATAGAGGTACATGAATCAAATATAATATTCACCAAAATACATACATATATCGTTTGAAAAAAAAATTACTAGAATTTTTAAGTACATAGTATGGTACTATCTACTAGTCAGTGTTATACAATGATAACAGACAATTGATAGAATAATTATGTAGACGAAAAAAAGAGGTACGTTACAATTTAGTTATTTCACTAAAGATAAATGGCTGGATCATATTATCTAGATAAAAATAAGAAAATGTTGTTCATTATCCATCGTAAAACTAAGTATTAAAAGTAAGTAGTATAAGTGTATCAGATTTAATACATATCTAAATTGCGTAAGAGTTGTTCGATTTATATTAAAACTTAATAATTTATTTATTTAACTACATTGATGTAAATTAAATATTTTACCTATTATTTCTATATATAAATCACGTTTGAATAGGAAAAATTAAATCTAAATAGTTCACCCATATATCTGAGATATCTTAAATTGATAATTTATCTAGATAAGTTAAAAGATAAAAATATACCTATCCGGATAAAATACAACACCGATAGTAGCTGTGTGTAAAAAATGTATGCACAAAAGAGCATATTACATCTCGGTACCTATAACTTTGATTCCAATAAAGGACTTCAGTCAATTTGATAAAAAAAAAATACAATAATAATAATAATAAAAAAAAAAAAAGTAAAATCAAATAACTAAAACTACGAAAATGAATTGCACGAGAATATTATAACATTAATTAATTAAATTAATAATTTGTATTAAAAAATAATAATAAAAATAATTTATACTGGTGATGGAAGTGGCCACTGTTGTAGGTGGGAAGTTGGTAAGGTAGGGTACATAAAGTTTTTTCATTTATATCTGTGGGCAACCATAAACCATTGCTTGACGAAAGACGATTCCGAGAGCAGTTCGGTAATAGGTATATAATTTGAAGTGCCACATTTTTTTTTTTTTTTTTTGCGATATTGGTTTAAATTTAATTTCAAAACTCTTATTGAAAAAAAAAAAAGTCGTCCGATGATTTTGGAAATTTTACCGCGTCTAGATAAGTTCAATATAAGTATTTTTACCAAGTTTCAAGCCTCTACGTGTATTTATTACCGAATTACAGCAAAACAAACTCCCAATCGTATAACTNTTTTTTTTTTTTTTTTTGCGATATTCGTTTAAATTTAATTTCAAAACTCTTATTGAAAAAAAAAAAGTCGTCCGATGATTTTGGAAATTTTACCGCGTCTAGATAAGTTCAATATAAGTATTTTTACCAAGTTTCAAGCCTCTACGTGTATTTATTACCGAATTACAGCAAAACAAACTCCCAAAAATGAAAATTCTTAAAAGCTCAAAAGTTTTTGCGATGACACCGTAATAAATTAAATTAAAAAGGTGTCTTGTGATTTTTCGATTAAGTCATTTCTTCTGGTAAAAAACGTCGTCCGTGTTTTTATAAAATAATGAAACCGTGAAATTGTACGTTTTTTCTTTTATTTAGCGCTTTTATTTAAAATATAGCGTCGATAATCAAAAAATTACCCGTTTAAAGTATCATCTGGACAACTTGAGCTTACAAAAAAGTTGCTACACGTAAAAAGTCGGAGCAAGTTTATTAAGAAAAAACGTGTCCACACACTAGAACTAAGAAAAAAAAAAAAAAAAACAAATAAAACCAATAGCTCCCTCGCTACGCTCGGAATCTAAATTGCGGAAAAATTGAAAATATGAAATATTATTCTTATTATGTTATTCGAACGGTATCGATGATTGAAATTGTATAAAATACATTTCATACGAATTTGATAATGCACCTCTATTTAGGTACAAAATATAGAACGCATTATTGTATGCAAACGATTTAAAAAAACACACTAAAACCGGAATACAACAAACGTACTATTATAGGAACGTAGGTTTAGGTATGTATCTATTATTAATTCTATCGATCTATATGGTTGTAGGCCAACAAAACTAGGATTATTAAGTACAGTTTATCGCGGAATAGTACATAACTATCGAATGCACGTATAATCGGTTAGCGCTACACAACTCATATAATGCATAAAATGCAACGTATAAACGAACATGCACACGCATTCAATATCATACAGGATATCCCACGAATATACGCACATTGCAGTATCACCGGAAATTACTAATAAGAATAATGAAATTCTGTTTTTTTTTTTTTTTTTTTAATTACTTGCGGGGATAAGGACTAAACGTATTTATATTTCATTAATTTTTATGTTTTGGTAAAAAAACGTATGAGTTATTATATTTGAACAATTAGAAGTTATCCATTTCATAGAGCTTATTCTTCTGAACATTTTGACGTATCAAATTTTTATTGTCATTAAATTCGTGATTTAAATAATTGTTTAAAATTCAGAGAAAAAAAAACAAACAAATATAAGTTCGCACGATAGATGGGCCACTGTTGCAAGTGAGAAGTTACGAAGATAGAGGGGATATTTCATATGTGTATTTTCTGTGCGCAATGATTGATTATAACTTACGAAAAACGATTCTGTGCGGGATTCGGTTATATATGTCCGTAATATTTACGATTTGAAAATAAAATCAATTTCGTAAATTTTCTCAGTTTTTCCCATTTATTATGAAAACCACTTAAAATGAAATGATTTCCTTAGAATACCATCCAGATGACATTTTCTTCCAGAAAAGGTATTAAACATGAAAATCTAAGCTTAATTTCTTGCATGAAAAAATGTCCGCAGAAAAAAATTAAAAATAAAATAAACATCATCTTAAAACTAATACATTCCTCGCTCCGCTCAGAACCTATAAGTAGTCAAGTCTGTATTAAGTCTATTAGCCATAATATTAATCGAGAATGCGATTACTGCCTGCTGCATAGTTATAAGTAGTTTTCTCTGAACTTTCACGATTATTAAATATCACGAATAAAATAAAATAATTTAAAATAAAAAGTTGAAACGTCAAAAAGTTCAGAATAATAATAATAAACTCTGTTAAATGGCTATATTCAAATTTTTAGAAAATAACAAAATAAAGTTATTTTTAAGTTTATTTTCCAATCCATAAATTTAATTTAAATACACACATTAGTATTCTTCATCCTTGCGAGTATAGCGTGAAAGAAAAAAATAGAATTCGATTATCTTTATTGTCTCGGGAGATATTTTTGTAATGGGTATATTTTCACGGATACTCTGTTTTATACAGTGTTTTTAACCAGAAACGGTTTTTTATTAATTTTTTTTTTATCAGGTAGCGTTTAAGGTTATTAATATATACTTTTGTGATTATGATTTTTTTTTTTTCAATACAATAACAATATAATCTATCGATAATCCTTTCGATATCATAATAATCGCAATCAATATACATATTTTTGAAAATATATGTGAGCGCATTGATGTAAAGTATAATATTGTGTAAAAGTTTTGATTAAAAAAAAAAAAAAAATCACGATGTAGAGAACGACGAGGGAAGGAAATAATTTTTATGATTTTCATCGGAAACCGTTCGCTCGTCTACAAAGTTTCTTAATTTTTGTAGATAGGTAATAAATAATTATTGATTTTTGACGTTCAATATGCATTCGTGATTGAAGTGTTCGCAACACGCGAGCAGAAGTTAAGTAGAAAATCATTGGAATAAAAAAAAAAATAATAATAATAATAATACATTTTATCTATTGTTAAACATTGATTACAAATTCAATTTAAATGAAAAACACGTTTCGACACAGAGAGATGAAAAAAGATCGTACTCGAAAAACGATTGTGATCGAAAACAACTTATTGTCGGTGTTTCGGCGATTTTCGGAAAACCTTTAAACGGAATATAGAAAATCGCGAAAAACAATCTCTTAAAAGTTCAAAGTATTCAATTGTCCGGGTTATCGGACGGGACTTTTTGAGCACCACCTATACGCTGTTACTTTAGCCGAAAAAAGAAGGGGGGGGGGAAACTTTTTCGGAGTGAGCGATATGAAGAGAATGCGCACTGTATTGAAAAATCGAACGGTTTCTGTAACGGAGAATCGTTTAAAGGCATCATCGTGTAGTGTCAAAGTACGATCAGTGAAACGGAAAATAGCTATACAAATATATATATACACATATATGTATAATATTACATTGTGGATACAAAAAAAAAAAAAAAAAAACCACTAAATATAACGTATAGGGCCAAAGTTATACCGCTCGAAACTCCCCAGAACGTAGGTAGGCGCCTAGAAAGGGTCGGGCCGGCGGGGAAATTTGCCCCCCTTTCGGGTCTTCGCATTATAGGTACGTTCAAAATTTAAAGCGATCGTATCAGGGCCGCCGTTTTTATAACTCGCCCAGTTCCCTGAAGACGCGAATTTCTTGCGGGAGCCTGCGGTATCATCGTAAACAACCATCAAAATATCATTATTTTTATACGTACGTTTCGGTGTTATCGCCGCCAGAATCCGCAGCGGCCGGCGAACGCGACACGATCGAAAACAGTAAACGGTCGTGCGAGGATTTTCGCAATATACGTGCGTAAAACGAGGACGTGTCACCGTTTCGGCACTTTTGGTACACTGACGGTCGGAAAACGCGAAGAACGGATCGGAAGTTTGGGCGCGGGTCCGGGACTCGGGTCACGTGCGCGGACGAGGGCTGAAAACGAACTCGCGACTACGTCGTCGGCGGTGGCGCGTGTGTCTGCGAGTGTGCCCGGTCGAGTGGCGTGCGTGGCGGTCCGCGGTGCTTGGCTTACTGCCGGCGATTCCGCGACTCCGCGGTACCCCGTGGAACGGCAGTCGCGGCCGCCACCTCGCGGAGCGTCCCGCGGTCCGGTCCGCGGCGTTCCGGAGACCCCGTGTCCGGCATCATTTCGCTCCCGGAAGATTTCGTATGCATAACGGCGGCGGCCGCGACAGTAATAACAATAATGACATTACACTCACCGTCGTCTTCCCGGGCCGTAAATTAAAAACAAAAAAAAACAAAATTAAATAAAACCCTCCCCTCCTACCGTGTTTTCCCTTTCGCTAGGTTTCGCGATACAAAATTGTCCGTCGTATTGACAATACGAAATAGCCGCGGGATGTCGCGAGCCCCGCAATACATTTAATAGCCGTCGCAATCGTAACGAAATCCGTTTAGGTAAACGCGAAATGGACCTCGACCGCCCGAAAAATTTACGGTTCGTTATTATGATGATTTTTCGTTTTTTTTTTTTTTTTCTTTATTCTCTCTCGAAATACTAAAAATCACACGCTGCCGTCATCTCTTCGCAGTGACGCAGGTGCGTGACAGTATTTCCGCGGGTAAAACCGTCCGGAGGTTGCAGAGATGGATTAGAAACCGTATACAGGTATATGCAAGCGCACTTGCCCGGGGTACTTACTTGTCCTCAAAAAAACTAAAGTGTAGGTATTATAGTGAATTCTCTCCCGAGCGTGTTATTACTTTTCAGTCGTAGGCGTATTGGGCAGATAGGGGTATTCACCGGTAGCCATACTTCACAGTGTACGTACCGTCCGCGTGTGACATTTCTCGGGCAATCCGTCTATATCCATAAAAAAAACGTGATCCAAGTGAAATAAAAAACTGCACTCCATTATCTGTCCATACCAATTGATTTGACTTCAGACTATTCATGAATAATCGTTATTATATTGTTATGTACGTGAGCGTCGAAGTTAGCCCGTGATCATTCACAGACATAAAATGATGTATAACAAAACGATCTAAGAGAACAAATAAATCACAAAGTAGGTTAGAAATTTAATGCTATAATTAGAAAATGTTTAATTTGACGTAAATTTTATAATGCCGCTTTTGATTGTCTTGATATCACGGTTTCAATTTCGGAAACGCGCAAGCGCACAATTTTTAAAATGCATATGAATATAATTACAATCGCGGTTAAACGATTCTATACTTATAGAAAGACTAGCTCAGATATCTATTTACACTAAAAAACCTTTATATACTTATATGATCTGTAGTGTTTTACTAAAATTACAGAAAAATTTCCTTTCAAAAACGCTCTAAAAATGGTTTATAATCGATTGTAATCTATAAACGCGACAAAGAATCCACTCTGTATAAACAAAAAAAAAAAAATGATTTTTATATCGAATAAAGCATTTTTTTTTTTTGAACAGCTCGGTGTAACAGGAAAATCTTACCAACCGGTAAGAATTTTCCAAGAATATTATACCGTAAGGGAGGTATTAATTTCCTAGTGCATTTCCAGGATAATTTCCCCGGGAAATTTTCCGGTACATTCCAGGATTGTCTTTTGAGCAAGATAATACTATAACGATCTTATCTCCCATCCTCGATAGGATAAACCTGACAATAATAATTAAAAACAATAATATATTAAAAACTAATAGACGTACAAACGCAAATGCGATCATATGGAGAGTTAAAACGTACATGACAGGTTTTAATAATCAGGATATAATACATTTATAATCTATTTCGCAAAATGGGTAAGCCACTGTTGTTAGTGGGCATTTGGGAAATATATTATACTTAAAAGTACTCACCAACGAAAGAGGAAGCTGAAAACTGTAAAACGGATTTTAATCTAAATTAGTCTCATAGGCTCATACGACCCTTTGATTTATTTCACTCTATAGCTCTGTCATTACTTAGCATTTAAATTGTGTTACTTATTACACATCAGTTAAATTATTTTTTTATATACTTAACAAACAGAAAAAGTTTAGGCACACGCAGTCACCAAAACTTTGTATATTATTTTTAGATGTTTGGTATTACCGTAGCCAAAAATAAATTATTTAGGTCCACTAATTATTTTTTCATTACCTACTCTGTTTTTATAACGATAAAGTACATCCAGATACGAATCGGGTGTTCGGAACGTATTTATTAATTTCTTGCAGTTTTGTATGTTTTTTGCGTACAACTGCTACGCAACTCCAAAAGTAGTGACTTGTAAGAGTGCATTGTTACATTATTTTCTTTATCGTTAAAAAAAAAAAAATTAAATAATTTACGCAGTGTTTTAAGCTTATAATAGCGTTCTGGGAATATTTTACCGTGGATAGATGGATATGACTGGAAAAATCGTAACCCTTCCTGTTATAATGAATATAGGCAAATCATACCCCCTCCGGTGACATTATCCGGGGACAAGATTTGACTGCTATACCGGTGTAACAGGTGTAACAACGAAATCGTACCTCCGGATTATCATACCTCCCACACTACGATAATCCTACGGGGTTATAATATCCGCTGTACCAAAATCTCAGAATATGATATTATGTAACGAAGGTATGAATTTCCTAGGATAATCACAGTACTCGCCTGTAACAATAACCTAGAATATAGATACTTCCGTCAAATATATACGTGATTGGGAATGATTATACTATAAGAAAATCGTATATCCGGTAAACATTTACTAGGAACATGTTACCTACCAATATTCTATACATAATATCGTATAATACTGGTTTAAATATCGTAGGAAATCCATACCTCCGGTCAAAAATTACACTGTAGGGTACGACTATCGTAATTAATTAATTATACTATAGTCATATCCTACTTTATATTATAGTTTATGGAAGTGTCTATATCTATGGTTTTTTTGCCGGTGAGTGGTTTGATTGTCCTAGGAAATAGTGCCTCCGGTGGACAATCTCAGAAAGTGTGTTTGTCCTAGGATTTCGGTACTGGGAATATGATTTCCCTCGGTGTTAAAATCTTGGGACACGTGGTTATCTACGATGACTATAAATGCTACGCATTAGCGAAAACCCAACAGTGGTTCTACACATTAACCAGTAAAACCACGGAATTAACATATAAACGAGTTGTACATTTAGGATTCGTATAGATTAGTTTTATAGATTTTGTAAATTGCAATGTAATACTTACGACCATTACCGCTAAACATAGATATAAAGGTGGATAACGGACGAACAACAGAGGTATTGCATTATATTATTAACGAAATAAAATTGGATAAATAATGTTGTAAAAATATAATATTGGTACATACACGTCAAAGGTATATATAACAGTATATTGAGCCACGTTGAGCGTGTGCGTGTACAGAGTATTATTTCAAGCATATTAAACTTTGTTGTGGAAATGAACCGGAAGAAAAAAAAAAAAGCACAATATTTGTATATTATTATGTTTATCGGTGTAAAAAAAAAAAAAAAAAAAAAAAATAACGTGAACCGAAACGTCCACCAAAACGGCGTACCTATAAATCATACACGCGAGATAATATTATTATTATGTCGGCGACGGTAAGGGATGACGGGGCACACATAAATATTAAATATTATTTTTACGTTGATAACACTTATCACATTTTTATACAGCTGTTAAGTCACGCGTTAGTTATACCGCCGCCGTCGTCGTCGCAGGACCCGAAACAATTTATAACTTTTAGGATTCATAAATATATAGCGAAAATGTTGAAATGAAATTTTTCCTTTTCGAGCCATTGAAATGTAGCTGGCTGTATGTATCTATGTATGTGTATGTGTGTGTGTGTGTGTGTGTGTGCGCGCGCGCGTGTGTGTGTGTGTTAGGTCGCCTCCGTGCCGTTAATAACAGCCCCGACGGAGGCGGAACATTGTTTTATATTTCAATGATAATAACAATATTATCAGTCGTGTTGTTATTGCATTTTGAAATATCCCCCTTTCATCGTTCATTTATAAGTTAGTATATTATTTTATTATTATTATTATTATTTGGAACTTATAATATTAAATACTCCACGGAAGTTCTTTTGTAAAAGACGTATTCGTGATTATTTCCAAAACTCGACTCGAAAACTATTCGCAAGAAATGTCATTACGGCCAATCGAAACCCTCGTGGAAGTGTTCGGTTTTTAATAATAATTATTTTTAAATATTTACAGCAATATAATAATACGCATTTCGTTGCAGATTTCATATTGTTTTATTTTATTTCATAACGGGTTTTGAAAATACTTGTGTCATCGTTGCTTCGGCATTTCACGACTACGAATATTCTGAGGGTCTCGGGGTACAGGGATTTATTTCGATGCCCGCTAAATTCGTATTATTTTCTCGTTTAATCGGAATGTATTTTTGTTTACAATCGGCGGTGGATTGAAGAGCGAAGTCGAGAGGGCCCCCCTCCTTATTAACTCAGCCTCTAGGTTAAATGTCTGGATAAATTTATCCCGTTTTGTTTAACTGTTTGAACCGACCGATGTGTTTTTCGAAGCTCCTCGAAGATGGGTAATGCAAATATTATGGCTCTGACCGTGGTTTAGAAATATTTAAACTAATTTTAACACGCCGTAAGGTCTAACAATAATTGTATTTTATTTTCAGGTAGAAACGTACTGCGTATAATAAACGCTTTTATATAGGTGCTATAACAATACCTTTAATATTGTAAATAATACTTTATCGTAATAATATTTTCAACGTAAGTTTACCTAATTAAAAGAAAAATCGAGATTTTTCATCGCACTAAATTTTCCCGAGTCCAAAGGCTTAGTACTATAGATAGGAATTTAAAATACAAAAATCGCATTGTTCAAGACAATTTTCTTTTGGTAAAAATGTATAAAAAAAATATACGTAGAGTATCATCACTACTGCTATATTATGGTTATATTATATTTTCTAATAGAACCGACGACGACGAGGGGTTCGAACGGTAATTTTAGACGCCGGCCATTATATGTGGTCGGGCTCGGTTAAGACACATTGCCG